ACACAAAGATCAATTTGTAAAACTCCTTGCAAGAATTCGAAATTCCACGCCCGTCGAGACTGTATCAATCCTTCCCATCATCTTGTTAACTTGTCCTGAATCCTCTCACACCAATCCCAAAGAACTGTCTCCCAGATTTTTGCACCACGCTTTGCTTCCTCCTGCGGGTATAAATATAGGCGTGGCTGTGTATTTGGTGACGAGCTAAGACCAGAGAAGGTCGACGAGAGGTGTGATCATTGAAATTAGGATGTACTAGGTCGTACTTGTAGACTTGATGAGACTTAGGTGGGGGTCAAAATCGTTGGGAGCGAAAAAACGACGTGGATGAGTTATTTGAATCATTGCCTCGTGGGCCAACTTCTTTGATATTGCGAAATTTGACTGAACTTGGGTCTGTGGGAATATTTCACTCCTAGGTTCGTAGAAGGCACAACGTATAGGTGTTCAGTCTTGCCCTCCAGCAACGGAAACTGCGTGCGCGGGAAAAAAGTCTCAAAAAAAAGCCTGCAGCCCCAGTCAGACGAGGACTAGACACTGGAACCGTACGAGGAATGCACATTCATCCATAGCTCTCTTCTTTATAACATTAGAGGTCAACTTGATCCAATCCATCATCGCCGTATCAGGCGCTGGATATGTTCTGGGAACTAATCGGATGGCTTTTTCATCTATGGTCAAGGGTTGGTAATTAGAAGGGCTCCGACCCCAACATCTGATCTGATCGTGGCTCGCTTCATAATAATGGCAAAAGGGGGTTGTGCTGAGAAACGATGATGATACAGACCGCGGGAGCAGTTGGGAATCCTTATCGAAGTGAGGGCGAAGTTGTTACTCAGACTCGGCTCTCCAGACTCTACAGTTAGAGCTGGAGGCTCGTAGGGGTCACTACTGACACGTGTGGAGAAAAGCCCCCATGCTGGAGTAGTGCCCCGTCACGATAAATATATAATCATCATCATGAGTCCAGAAGAGGTTGTAAGAGGCTGCTGTTCTTAAGAACTAAACCCGAAAATAAGGCAGTCACTCAGATCGGGAGTGTGCAGATCCGGTTACTAGACGCGCAACACCTACTTGGCGTTGATGAGCGTAGGAAGAATATCGTTGGCTTTTCTTTTGTAAAATCTGGAGCGAGTGAGGCCGAAATAGGATAGGTTAATTGTTCGAAGTGGTGTATAAGTGACTGTTGCATAGCCTTACGACGCGGAGGCATAAACCCTTCTTCAACCTCGGCCACTATGCGTTTGAGTTTTTGAGAGCCTTCTGTTGCAGCTGATTTCCTGAACTTTATAATCACCAGCATTCGCACAGTCTAGCGTCATCTATTTGTAGTGCTGGGCTATTTTGGTCATGGGTAGTCATTATGTAGATCCACGATTGACGCACTAGGAGTTCGTTATATTTTTCTGTACTATCACAGCATTCCCGAGTGGCTTTATTCATTAGTGCTTGTTTAAGTAGTAAGTCTAATAACCGTAGAGAAGAGTGAGCGAGCAATAAAAAGCGCAATGGATATCATTCGGTTATTTGTTGAACTCATCTTGGTTACCTTCAGTGTGTGTGTTTGTGTTTATTGTGCTACTCGAGTCTATGACTATCTAGCACATTGGGCTCCTCTCTGACCCAGGCCACACCTTGTACAGCGCTCCTATCCTCTTTTGTTACTTGAAAGATCATTGATATATTCCACTTGATGAATAGCCATTCAGCTCAGTGTTTACCCGTAGAATTCGGCCGCCTTTTCCACGGAACCTTCTACCCAAAAAGAATAAAAATGGCAGCCATGGAAACTTCGTGCGCGGGAAAAAGTCTCAAAAAACCTGCAGCCCCAGCCAGGCGAGGCCTAGATATCAGCGCCACATGAGGTGCGCATATTCATCTATATCTCCCTTCTTTGTAACAGTCGAGGTCGACTTGATCCAATCCGCCATCTCCGTATCGGGTGCTGGGTACGCTCCGGAAACTCATCGGATGGCTTTTCCTCCATGATCAAGGGTTGGTGATGAGTAGGGCTCCGACCCTACCATCTGATCAGATCGTGGTTAGCTTCATGATAATGGTGATAGGGGAATGTGTTGAGAGACGAAGACGATACAGACCGCGAAAGCGATTGGGAATCCTCGTCGAAGTGAGGACTTTGTTACTCAATCTCGGCTCTGCAGACTCTACAGTGAGAGCTGGAGGTTCGTAGGGGACACTACTGACAGGTGTTGATAATAGTCCCCCTGGTTACCTTCAGTTGTTCGGCCAGGACAGATCATTGGACTTCTTTGTATCCATGAAACATATCTTCAAACTCTGGAGATCCTAATGCTCTACACATCGTTTATTAAAACCACTATGAAGTAGGTTTGCTAATAAAACCAAGTCTTTGTCCCTTAGTTTATTCTAAGCGGAAGCTTCAAACCTTTTAGATATCGATACAAGTATCTATCATCTTCTGCGCAACAACTGCGCGAAATGTGTTAAGGTTTCGATGAAACCGAACCGCTTATCCCTCGTTGTGCATAGTATAGGCACCTTAATTCTTCAGACTCAATCTGTAAGGCTAGCTGCATGGAGTTATATTGTAATTATGTCGTACTGGTATTTAAATAATAGTTATTTTATTAAACCAAGTTCCGTCTGAGATCTACCTGCGGCCCGGATTATATTAAGCCAAGTTATGTGCAATGATTATTTTTATCTAATCTACGGTTGGGAAAATTTATGCATAAGTATTCGAGCTAGATGTGAATGAATTATGAAATATGAATCATGCCGCTATACCCTAATTCATAGTGCTGATAGGCCATTGGTAATTCCCCAACAAGTTATATCTCGATCGATGTGTTTGTAGTTTTAAGGATAGTAAACAAAAGAATTTTATTAAATGAAATAATCTTAGAAAATATACATTAATTGAAATACTGATCAGCTTGGGCGGTTAATTGTCTGTCCTACAATCTGGTGATAAAAAAATCGGAATCAAGGGAGGTACTTTACTCAGCCTTATCAGTAGCGTGTTAAAACCAGAGAGAAAGAGATGTGTTTATCGTTCTACTCGAGTCGTAGACTTTCTAGCATATTGGTCTTCTCTCTGTCCCATGCCAAACCTTCTACGATGCCCCTATCCTCTTTTGTTTCTCGGAAGGTCATTGTTAAAATCAAAAGATGATAGGTTAGTGCGATTTCGTGTGTTTATTGTCCTATGGAATGAATGCCTATAGTACATGTAGATCTTTCCTGCCAATAGACAAGAGGTCTCTTTGACTAAGAAATTGTACTCCCCCCTACATCTTCTTTACAAATTATTTCTCGCAATAACATCTCTACAAGTCTTGATTTGAGTAAATCATTATAATTTTTATCCTATCATTATCTCTCCTATCCAGCCGTCCCATTTTAGGCCATTTGCGGGTGTGAAGATGCAGTACTGGCTACTACTACACTACTTGGATATCAAGTTACTTTATAAAGCTGTTTTTTATATCTTATCCTTGTAGCTTGAAGCCAGTACTAGGCTTGGTGGAGCTCATGAATGGAAGGATTCTGAAGGGCATGGAATGGGGATATTTAGGTTATGCTTTCGCATAATTCTGGCACATGCCAGTAACCTTGGCGTAGATTTATGACCTTTCACTGGCTGAATTTGTCAGTTTCTGACAAACAACAGCCAGCAAATTTTGAAAGATTAGCAATCTGTAATAATATGAATCTTGGAACATGTGCTGTCACGCGTTTTCAATTAGCGTCGACCCCGGTGGCACTGCTTCCCATGCGGTAGTTCGTCACTGGCAGGAGTGGCACATGCTGGCAAGGCGTAGGCAAGGGTCTATCCGCTTGTGCCAAAAGTGGACAAATAACAACCCGATACATCTCCTTTGATATCCGTCCGTCGAGTATTACCACTCAACCACACTGTCTGGTATATTATCCATCAGTGGAAACCGTGCAGCATTAGGTGCTTGGCCCAATTTTTTCTCCATCCATCGCAAGTTTTACCCGCCCGCATCGTTTATCGTGCAAGGCGAGACGAACCAGATATCCCCGAAACTAATGAACCATCATCCGATAAATCAGAGAACCACACTGCGAGCTACACACTGTAAGCTGGAATTTTCCAGCGCAAGGGAGACAATCCTTGCAGTTCATATGGAAATATAGTTGAGAGCGCGAACGCTATCGCTGTCATGTAGTTTGCGAGGTAGATGCGTCTTTCAAGATAAATGCTCAAATTTTATCAGCAATGCATCTTTCACAATTGATTGCATTTCATCATTTGATATCTTTAGATGCGAAACTCCCTACCGGTTAAGAATGTGCGACATGAGTCGAAGTGAAAATGAGTTAATGGAATCCAAGGAAACGCGGCATCAGCCCATATCCCTGACCGGATCAGACCTCTGAGCTGAAGCTGTTCGTATCGAAGCGCAATCAAAGGACGAGGTAGACACTGGTATCAATTTTTTGGTGTCTCAGGTCGATGTTCGAGGGGCGTCCGTGTCAATGGGAAACCTCCTGGTTCATGGAAATTTGTACTCGTACTCATTCAAGAGAGGGGATGAGTTGCTGCTATCATTGCTGGACTGGATATGAAATGGAATATTGAAACCAGAACTTCCACCAATAATTTGTCTCAGTGGCTAGGGAGATGGACTCAACAAACCCATCCCAAGCTGGATCGCTCCCCCATTTCTCCCCTCGCATTCCGGACGGGTCCCGAGCTACGCACAAGCAAACCCATTTCTTCTGATCCTATATAACTTCTATCGGAGTCGCTGACTGCTTATCAACGACCATCTGACCATCATTTCTCGCAACATCTGCCTACGCTCTTTAAGGTTTTTGAGGAGCATCTTCCATCATGACGTTCTGACCCTCATCTCTCTCCGAGCACTACTACATCGTCAATCCATCAAAGATCGTCCATATCCCTACACAAAAGAGACATTCGTCATCCCTGCAACCAAATCCCTAGCTTGACCTGCCTAGAAACTCAAACTACGAAAAAGTACAATATGGCAACTATTTTCATGTCAAATACTGTCGCCAGCTCAGATCTATCTATATCTTCTCTGTCACCCGACGAAAACCTGCAAGAGAAATCTGAAAACTGCAATAAGCCAACTCTCACTCAAACAGAATCATTCACGAATCCTGTGAGCGCAACATCGTACCCGGCGCATACACTCTCCCCATCTACTACAGATCTGATCCGTTTTTCAGAATTAGGGATTTCTGGCGACTTAAATCTACAAGACTGGTCAAGACTGGAAAAAGAGTTGGTTGATATGGACAAAAATCACACATCAGAAGCAGAAACTCCGCGAAACTCCGATGTGGAACTACCTGTTGGTTATGATCCTAGAACCGCCATTAAACCATTAGAAGGATGGCGCCTCCAAGTTGTAGTCTTCATGTGCGTTCCGTTACTGAGGACTGTGTCTCGAAGAAACCAACTGACCATATCATTCGATCAGTTTAATTCTAGGCGTATTTTTGAGCACAGTGGAGACTTCGATAACGGCAACTGCTCTAGTTCAAATCGGTATTTACTTCGATGATTCATTTATGGTACCGAAACACCAAAACATTGTAGCTCTCTCGAATGCTACTGACTTTAATTAGACTAACTGGGTAGTCTTGAGCTATTTACTGACTTACATGGGTAATGTGATACTAGCCCCTCGCACATGACCTGACTGACCTGGATCAGGGTTCTCCGTTATCTTCGCTCGCTTGAGTGACGCCATTGGTCGGAAATCAGCCATTTTGATTTCATGGTTTCTTTTTGCGGTTTTCTCCCTGGCCAGCGGCCTAGCCACGACTTTGACACAGCTTATTATCTTCCGATCCTTCCAGGGCATCGGTGGATCAGGACTTTTTACTATGGCCATGACCGTTGCCCCTCAAGTATCTCCGGCAAGGTTATGGGGTCTTCTAAGTGGCTGTTTAGGTGCAGCCTTGGCTTGCTCTTCACTTGTTGGTACGTCTGGAATTTGAGGTTGCAAATGCCGTTCTAATTTGACCTAGGTCCTGTCTTAGGAGGTGTCATAACTGAAAGAGCTGGTTGGAGGTGGATTTACCTTTTCAACGCACCAGTTGCTGCTCTGATCGTAATTCCATTACATTTAGCATGGCCTAAGAGTCCTCAATTAAACAAGGGAGCGAGGAATCTTCTCCTGAGCCAAGTGGATGTACCTGGTGCACTTCTTTTGCTCGCTGCGTCTACCTTGCTTGTGTTTGCTCTAGAACAAGGTGGAGGCTATCGAAATACATGGAATAGTGGTCCTGTTGTTGCCAGTCTCGTTGTCTCCGCTGTATGCTGGATCCTATTTTTTAGCTGGATAATCTTCCTAGAATCCGACAGGTGCAAAATTAACATTAAACCTATTTTCCCCCTACGCACGTCTATGGCTCGACCGACCGGTCCAGCAATCCTGTGAGTCGTGCGGAAGAATTATCTATCGCTTGATACTGACTTTTTATCACAGAATGGCATTTTTGGCTGGGTTCCCATTCTTTATAATCATAATCAACATACCAATCCGATACCAACTTCTCAATGGTGATACACCAACTATGGCTGGGATCCATCTCCTCTCTTTGCTCGCACTTAGTGCTGCTGGTCTGTAGATCTACATAATGAGTGATTGCTGCTAATGCTTCTACAGGAAGCGCATTGGGAGGTGCCTTATCAATCAATAAAAACCGCACATGTATTACTCTAATCATGGCTTCGATTCTCACTTGTCTCGGAACGGGCCTTCTATCGACTGCTCCAAATTCTCGATCAATTGAGCCAATCCAATTTTTTTATCAAGCTCTTCTCGGACTTGGACTTGGTCTAAGTGTATCATCAATAACCATTATGACAGGCCTCGCTAGTGACTTGGAAAGCGTCGGTACGCATATCTATCTTGGTTAGATTTCACAAAATGCTAACACACCTTTCCACAGCTTCAGTGAATGGCGCTATTAATCAAGCTCGAGTACTTGGAGGGAGCATTGGTCTCTCAACCGCTAATATCCTTCTCAACAGTAAAATTGGCAGCGAGTTGAAGTCTGTTCTATCTCCGACCGAACTCCAGAATCTAAGACAGTCCATCAGCACTATCATAAACTTGACTCCTATTCAACAGGCCAAGACGATCGGAGTTTTTGCGCATTCATTTAATAGCCAAATGCGAATATGTCTATACCTGTCGGTCATCAGTGTTTTCGTTGCTTTATTCACCTGGCAAAAAAACCCAGCCAGTGTTCAAGCTCACAAGGAGAAACAGTCTGCATTATCATCAGCTCATAATGATGTGCCTTAATTTCAGCTTTCTGTGGCATGATATCATTTTTCATGCAGTTCCTGGGTTAGGAAAACCAGCGGCTCGGGCATAACCCCCGGATTTAGAGATATAAAAGCGCCGTATGGTGAGTTGAGAAAGAAGACCCCTAGTCTGATTCGGTTCCGAAGGAAACGCCTCGATACGAATAACTAGTCTGATCTTCGGATTAAAGCGACGAAATCTTCATGACGCTCGGCGACGTCTCAGATGTAGTCTACGTCGCCTACATTTTGAGCCACTTGTCTCTAATTGAATAGGTTAGATTGTCAAGGGCACCGAATGTTGTTCAATTGGCTCGAAAATATTTAACGCTAGTGCACGTTGAACAGCCTAACAATCAGCATAAATTATCGGGCCATATTTTAAAGTAACTTCTAGGAACAGATCCCTGCTATAATTGAACGAAGCATGTGGAGGATCGCTCAAATGATCACTTCCGCAAATGATCTGAAAGCTTTTCGATTATAGAATTACTGCCTGAGGCGAGTTATCAACACGAATCAAAAAAATGAGATACTGAGCGATAATGTGTTTAAGAAATGGTAAGTAAACAAGGGTTGAATCGGGCGAGGTTTTAATCTTAGCAGGAAAACTGTGGCAACTAATCTAATTGGAAGATTTGGATAGCTTAGGTTGTATTACTGCGAGAAGCAGATAAATCGCAAATTTTTATGTAGTGAAGATGGATATGCAAATATGAGTGAACGAGTAATTTTTAATTGTACTATATCATTATTTTGATTAGATCATCACAAGACTTTCGCAATGCACGTGATCAGTAAATAGCGTTTAAAATCGTTCACACTTTAAGGAAAAGACCTGTAGCAAGTAGACGACGATGAATGATGAAAACTTTTTTCTAACCTCAAACTTTTACTATACTTGTCGAGTTAGATTACGTTGACTGAAGAACAAGAAGAAAGTGCAAGTTGATTATAAATTTGCTCGTGTAAAAGTTAAAATCTAACTTCTCCCAAACGCTTGGCTGTTGACAGCTGTTACTGGCCTTAGGAAATCTAGCATCGTAGATGTGTAGTTGCAAGATGAGCGGCCAGATGTTTCATCGATGTCAATACCCCAGTCCAGTGGATACGTTCTAGGAGTGTGGAAGAGCAAGGAGTGACGTGCGCACGTGAATTACCTATTAAGGCTCTAGAGTAATGTTAAGTAGTTGTACCAAAAGAGAGTAGTCAATAATGAGTATGCCACGGCATAGAACATGAAACGTGCCCGCTCACCTCTAGACGGTGTCTACCTATTTGTGATAGTGAGTATGTGTAGAGAAGCAGTCGGTTCGCTATGTCAAATTATGGTACTTGTTTCGCAGCGACAAGGTTGCTAATTGCACAGCTGCCACAAGCCTGTGGCGAGGAAACTAGTACCTCTGAATCAACAGCTTACCAGGCAGTGAAAATTCATGATGATTAGCCCACTCAAAGCTCATGCCTGCGACCCTTCAGGGTTGTAACCTCGTTTTAAGGGTCCCGCAGCCGAGGCAAATATTCGGGGCCCCTCTCCCGTGCGGACGAGACAGGTTAGTCATGCCCCGAAAGACCCCAAACATAGCTTCTTACATTGCTTCTTCTCGGCGAGGGGTATTGATCTAATTGCTTTTCAGAAGAAATCGGCCGAATATTTGCTATGTAAATCAGTTGAACTTGTTACACTTGGAATGGCAGGATGAGGGATGAATGGTGCAATGGTACACTATCTGGGCCCCTTTCCCATGTAGATTCTGAGTAGCTTGAAAACTTATCCCTCTTGAGACAGGAGGAAGCTGGTTCGAAAACAGAAAAACCCATATTCCACACTCTCTCGCGGTGATATTGTATTTGTTGGATGATGAAAGCACGCCCGGGTAACCATAGGTTTTTGACGCTATTCCCTGCGGTGGGTATGCAAGGAGGAAGCAGTTCGCCGTAAGGGTTAACCTCGAGTGATATCTGCGAATAAAATCTGAGTGTGAGTGTTCTAAACGTCAAAATAAATCATCCTACTTAAAGTACATATCTTCCGATAAAAACCCGCATGGGCCTCAAGGCGCCAAATCAGGAAAATTGAAAAATTCATTCACTTAATGGCAGGTTGACACGGTAGACATAACGATAGTTTACCTGATATAGACAGAATAACGTGATTTCGTCCTCACTTCTATCACTCTGAGATTGAGAAGTGTTGGCCTGCAAGGCTAGTGATGTGTATTTGACAAGTCACAACTAGGATGCTAGGTGAGACGTAGATTGACACTCGCCTACCCAGGATATCGTCGTTTTCACAACATTTACCCGCTGCCCAACTTCGTTAATTAGTCTAGTTATTGGCCATAGTTGCTTGACTCGGCGAATGTTTTCTTCTACTTCTACACGTCTTGAGTTCCAAAACTTCGGCTGAGCACCAGCAATGTTTAGCCTCGGTGATCCGTCCTTCCGTGCACGGGACTAGGATGTCGGCTAAGTGGCCCTTTCGCCCCATCGTTGGCCCCACATGAGATCCATTAACTCGAGTCTTCAGTGGCGCAGGTTGCTTTCTGCTATTATGATTAACGACCATTTGAAAATACATTAATGCTAAATTCTTACGAGGAAAGCTTACCTAGGGGCATCGGCCTCCATTATCTCTCTCTCACCGTCTGTGGCTAAGGTCCAATGTCTTGGAATCTCTTGAAGCGCTTCATTGAGAGCGATGTGTTCAACCAAAGCCCATTTCTCTCCGTTGCCTATCTCTCGTAAGAAACCTCTAGATCGTTTAGAGCAGCCTCTCATCTTGGTGTTGGGAGGGAACAGGAAGAATCAAGCTAATTGGGATGGATTTAGACGCTATGCAGACCACGTTGGAATTCATTATGTCCTCTGTTCCAAACTTCGTCAGTTCCGCTACGAAGAAATCGAATTCTTTTTACCGCAACTATGTCACTTGATCATCAGTGTAAATAATGAATCCATGGCCCTTGAGGAATTTATCCTGGATTTATGTGAGGACTCCGTGAATGCTGCTTTATTGGTGGGTGGTGCTATGGACCGAAAGACACCGAGGTCGGAGAAGATGAATTTTTAATTAACAATCGCTCTAGACTTTCTGGCTGTTTCAAACCTACCTCCACGATCTCTCTTCCAATCCCCAATCGGAAAGTTTTAAGACCTGTCGTCGTATTTTCAACAAAGTCCAACACGTGGTGTTCGGTGTGTCGGATCAGACACGAAGTGAAAAGATCTCAGAGAATATACTACCCGTAACGGTTCTTTCCAGCTTTATTTTTGCCAGTATTGCAGCCCCCTTCTTGCCAAAATGGGCTGGTCCATTAGCCATCGGGCAGGCGCGGAAACCACAACCGGCCCAAGATTCTATTTCGGAGGCGAGTCAAACGCAGCAAAGAATACATCGAAGTAATACCACCCACTCCGCCCTTTCTAGACCCCAGACGACAGGTTGCCTAGTAGAGAGAGATAACAAAAACAAACCCCAAGAGCCATCCAAGTTAGCCAGGGCAACATCCCTCAGTAGAACATCGTCACCTTCAAGCTTGGGTCGAGGGCAATCACTAGACTCGAGACCAAGACCCACCCATCTTGACCTACGACTCCCCAATACGCGTCGATGTTCGTCATCTCTACCGTCAACCGATTTTGGTCTCCCGACCATGAATGAAGCTAGGCCTATCACCCCTGTTACTGCATGTATAGGCGGCTCGTCTCAATTTGGAATGAATCTATTTCAAAAAAACTGTAGCTCCGATCTCTCCACATTATCAGAAGCACAGAAGGTAAAACTCTTGCGACAAAATTATTTTCGTTGTGAAGCACAATTTATCACTGCTCTCGAAGACATCTCCAATCGCTTGGTAGTAGTTCCAAAAGCTGCTCGTCTTAGTGCGCTACGGGCAGAGCTAGCTTTAATTGCACAGGATTTGCCGGCCGAAGTTGATATACCTGTTATATGCCCAGCGACATTGGTAGATGGGCAATCGAGCAAGAGTCGACACCATCGTATCGTACGACTCAACCCTACAGAAGCTACAGTTCTAAATAGTGCAGAAAAAGTACCATACCTGCTGATGGTCGAGGTGTTGCGAGACGATTTTTCCTTTGATCCCAGCACCTCTTATAATCAGGCTTTATTAACAAGGCTTATGGCGGAGCAAGGCTTGGGCCAGCGGCGTATCTTCGATATTTCTGAATCTGCACGCGCTGCTGCTAGTTCCCGGAAAAATAGCAATACTACTTCCCAAAATTCTCTCAATCTGGCTCCCGATAATGTTAGTCGTCTATCACTTCTTTCACCTAGAATAGTTTCTTTCCCATCCGATGATAAAAAAGAATCTCTAGTGCAACCCTTTAATAACTATGCTGCACAATTATCTGGTCCACCGAGTCCCTGGATCTCAGGTAATCTCTCTATGTCCTGCCTAGCTAGTCCCATTGATCGTAGGATGACATTTCCTCAAACTGAAAGGATTGGAACACCCGATCAACCTGATTTCTCAGCAGTCGCTACTCATATGCGAACCGCGTCTCAAATGCTAACCCAGTTACAAAGTACCAGCGGAAAACGGCCCAAGCATGAGGTTGCAGCCATTCGTGCTAAGATTATTGCAAGCATGCAAAGTCTAGATGAAAAGAGTTTTGAAGTTGAGGACATAAAAAAGCCCTCTTTCGACGACATCAAAATGGACGAAATAGTTGTGGTGCCTGAAGCATCTGAGAGTAGTTTGGGAAATAACGCATCCGATAGTACAGAAAACATAGGGGCTGGTGCTGCAAGGATGGAGAATGACCAGAAAACTAGTGGATTTCAGCGAAAAGGTGACTCGGACGACCCAAGTGCCGCAACTTTCGGCGAGGCCTGGAGTGTCAAGAAGGAAAGAATTCGCAAGACATCCCCTTACGGATGGATGAAAAACTGGGATGTTTTAAGTGTCATAGTGAAGACCGGAGCAGACCTAAGGCAGGAAGCATTTGCCTGTCAATTAATTCAAGTATGTGACGACATATGGAAGGATGCGAAGACCCCCGTCTGGGTGGAGCGTATGCGAATTCTCGTCACTGGTGAATCATCAGGGCTGATTGAGACAATCACAAATGGGGTATCGCTCCACTCCTTAAAGAGAAGCTTGACCCTCGAAGCTATCGAGACTGGGCAGAACCCACGTGGTAAAATTGCTAGCCTCAAGGATCACTTTGTCAAGGTTTTTGGGCCTCCTGAGAGCAGTATGTACCAAGCGGCAGCTGATGCATTTAAACGGTCTCTTGCAGCGTACAGTATTATCTCTTATGTACTTCAGCTCAAAGATCGTCACAATGGAAACGTGCTTATTGACAACGAGGGTCACATCATTCATATCGATTTTGGCTTCATGCTATCCAATTCGCCAGGCTCGGTTGGATTTGAGGCTGCACCATTTAAGCTCACGCAAGACTACGTAGAGGTTCTAGGTGGTGTCGGCTCGGAGCATTTTGAGGATTACAAGTCACTCTGCAAGCAAGCTTTTCAAGGTAAACAATCTTTGTTCTTCTTATTACTTTTTTTTGACTAGTTACAAACAGCGCTTCGACGCTCTGCCGATCACCTAATTGATCTCGTCAATATCATGGGGCGCGAGTCCAAAATGCCGTGCTTCAGCTATGGAGTCCAACAAGCTGTTGCTAACCTACGCCAGCGCTTTCAACTCCAGCTCAGCGCAGACGAGGCAGAACAGTTTGTTGAGACGGATCTAATTGGAAAAAGTTTCGGAAGTTATTATACACGTTTGTAAGTCTCTTCAATTAATATGTTCCCGCAGCCAGATTCAAAATATCTATATTGAGAAAACTAACGCAAATTTAGATATGATAGTTTTCAGTATCGTACGCAGGGGATATATTAAAGGGTGGAGTGACATGCGGCCTTGCTCTGGCGCCAGGTCGCGAGGTAAGGAGTTAATTTTGCATACATGACTATGGCGTTGTTGGGGTGATCCATGTAATCTGCATCTTGGGTTCTTGAAGGAAGAGTGGCCCAAACGGGAATCATCTTTTACTTGAAGTCGGAAATCATTCAAAAATCTCACAAAGTTAAACAATATTCGTAATAATTTCGAAGCTAGTTTCTAGATCGTCTTCATATTCCATGCATTGGATTTGAATTGAATGCATACGTTGTGATATACACACCTGTGTAACGGTTACAATCAGTCAACTTATCTGCTTAATTCAAATCGTGCAGGTGCGAAATATAAGACTTCGAGTGCCAGTTAGCTTAGTCCATGTAGAACTGTTATGATCCTCATTCATTAAAACATTACGCGTAAGACTGCATAGACTAGGTCATGGGTCAACATAGTCGCTGTGCCTTTTTTTTTTTTTTGCATCAGATTTTAATTGCGTATGCAGCTATCTAGCTATGACACAATATCAAAGAAAAGTACGGAAAAGATGGAAGCCTCGTAGTAGTTGTAGAGATCGGTTGATTATTAGGGTGCTGAAGTAATAGTAGTGCACGAACCAGCTTTCATATACATGGACTAATGATCAAGCACCGCCTCCCACAGAGACGTTTCCATCCTAGATTACATACTTATCCACCATACTTTAGCAAATCAGAATCCCTCCCAAAGCATACATCTCAGTTCTTACACATCGAATCACAACTGTCTCTAAGTCCCATCCAAGAAAATTTCCAGTGCTCATCATTTATAACACCAACGCCCGAAGTGCTCACGTCTCTAAAGAGCCTAGTCGTTGAATTGAGGCCCGGATACTGCCCAGCACCGCAAACACATTTAAGTTGATAAAATATGGCTGCTATTGTTTGCTCTCCCAATCAAAACAATAATTTCAATCCCATTTAAAGTTTTTCCTAACTCAGCCTCTCCCACTTTCACCCCTGGAGACTGTATTATCCTCATTGGAAATTTATATCAGGTCGACCGATAGGGGCGTCTGCTCTGATAGCATATCATTATATCCCGATTATAAGTCCTCTCTTCTTCAAGACACCCCTTACCGGGTCTTCCGAGCCTATGGCATATTTTTTCTTTGAGTGCATAATGAGGTCAATCCTTAGAGCGTTGTGGTTAAGTATGAGATATATGTTTGTGTGGGTTTGATGTACTGCTTGAGTCATAGACTTTCTAACACATTGGGTTCCTCTCTGACCCAGGCCTCACCTTTTATAGTTCTCCTATCCTCTTTTGTTACTCCAGAGATCATTTATTAATTACCCGTGATGAAAAGCCATTCAGCTCAGCTTTTACACGTAGAGTTCAGCCAAAATTTCCACGGAACCTTCGCTATATTGGGTGCTGAATACGCTCCGGAAGCTCAGCGCATGGCTTTTCCCCTACGATCAATGATGGATGATGATTAGAGCTCTGCCCACAACATCTGATCTGATCGTGGTTGGATTCCTGATAACGGTGATTGGGGGCTATGCTGAGATATTAAGAAGATACAGGCCGCGAGAGCGATTGGGAATCTTCAAAGTGAGGGCGAAGATTTAACTCAATCTTGACTCTATAGACTCTGCAGTGAGAGCTGGAGGTTCGTAGGAGACACCAACGACAGGTGTTGAGAATAGTCCCCCAAACTCGAATGGATGACAACTACTAGTATTCAGAAGATTGGGGTCACCTAAATAAATAGGGCGTCGAATGTAGCAGTAGTTTTTTCTTTAGTTAATAAACAATTACCTTTTGACATACAAACGCCCAAGCTTTCTAAATCTATATTGTTACAACCTACTCTACTTGGGAAAGAGAAGCCTCAGACTGTACTTCGCTCGTAGATAAGTCAATCGATGATGTATGAATGTCTAGATAATTCAGGGTCTTTGAGACGTTTCCCTGGGTAAGTATTCACGGACGATGGTTGACTTGGAGTGAAGAAAAAGTCGCCATTACCTGGCAGTGGTACTTGCAAATGAAAACGAAGACATGAGCGCTCTTCCTTTATATTGAGTCATCTATTAAGTAATTTTCTTTGATATTGTGTCATAGCTAGATAGCTGCATACTCCACTAAAGTCTGATGCAAAAAAAAAGGGTTGGCTTACATGGCTTTTTGTCAGTGGAGCTGAAGACCTATGCCAAGTAACCCATGCTTGAGTTGGAGAGTTCAGCTTCAAGGTTGATTTCACCAGACTGGATTTGGAGGTGCTTCGCTTGGTACATAATGCGTGCAAATATCTAGCCATGACACATATTTATATCTATATTTTCTCAGTCCTCTATACCGCTAGCAAACATTTAATTCTTCAATCAATTCTGTGAAATTCTCTCACGTGCTGCCATGCAGGTGGATATAATCAATTTTTTTGATTTCTTTTGTTTATGTTGAGTCTAAGATTATCTAGCATATTAGGCTCCCCTCTGACTCAGGCTACATCTTGGACATAGCTAGTATCCTATTATGGTACAAAAGAAGGTTTCTTAAATGATATCCATTATTGACTGTCACTTAGCTCAGTATTTACCCAAGAGCCCAATCTCAATTTCTACCCAAAAAAAAGGTAGCCAGACAAATGAGGTGCGCATATCTTTCTACATCTCCATTCTTTGTGACGTTAGAGGCCAGCTTCATGGTGATAGTGCTGGAGGGATGTGCGGAGAAACGAAGACGTCATAGATCGCCGAACTTTTTAATTAAACTCACCAAAGTGAAGTCGTTGGATAAAATTATTTTTGGATACTCTAGATATGCAGAGCATATTGAGTGTCTACACTGGCACCACTGGAAGGTGAAGAAATCGTCTTTGCCGGCTTGTTTTCATTTCAGAATCGTCAAAGAGATGGGTTTCTTAAAGGATTATTTCCCCGGCTTGTATCTTCTACAATATTTCAATCAAATAGACTCAGTCAGGATGTTTGAGAAGAGAAGTTCTTTTGCGTGACCCTCGATCTATGTCTCTCTCCGCCTAAATCCAATCTCACGCTTAGTCTAGACTACTAGACTTTTGAATGTTTTGACAATACCGACCCTATGTGAGGAACTGATGACGTTAAATCTCTTTCATCGGAGTTCAAAAAGCTGCCTCGGCCTCCGGTCAATGCCGTATCCCTTCCCGGCTTTCCACTAACTCCGATATATAGCTTAAGTGAATACCAACTTGAAAATTCACTAGAATCAATAATCATAAATTCACTCACATACAACCCAAACAGAAGGAAATTTCGGTCAACACAATTTCATTCGGTGCCTTGGTTGGGGATGCCGCAGCATGAGGTTGAGGCTTGGTCCGGCCTACCATACAGTATATGTTAATCTCTATTTTGATTTCAGAGATCGTTTGACGCCAGACTTTGCTCTTCGTACTTGTTACAATCCGTTGAATTGCCTTCATGCCCTCGTCAACTCTGAAATGTTTGCTCTGGCACTTGTTCTCGCGGCATTCCTCTGTCTACCAAGTCGTTGTATACTCATTTCAAGGGTTATACGTCTTCTAGGAGCCTTAATCTCGTCACTTAACGTCTTGACTAGCGCATCAACAAGCTTGCTTGTATAATGTATATCGATAAATTAGGTGTTGCTCTATTCCGTTGCCCCGTCTCCTCAATACCTGGTAAAAGCCATGAAATGCATCGTAGGCAACTTAGAATATCTGGCCTATCTCAGTAGCGACTATTTTTGAGTTTGGGAGTGGCAAATATCTAAATGCAAGTTAGCCCGGTGTCAAGTCGAGTTCTACCAATACATCAGTAGGAATCCTCGCGTTAGACCAAGCCAAATCATGTGAACTCCCACGACCGTGGGTTGGTCCATCTGGGCTTGAAGATGAATCCATCGCGTGCTAAAGCATCCGTGTTACGAGACACTGATTATGGCAAGCAAGAACTCAAGGCTGAAAGGTAATAAAGCTAAATGGCAAAGCTCCGTCTACGAATTACATACATGATGAAATTCAAGCTAGTAGTGACGAAAATGTCATTAGTGCTTCCTTAGCGCCAAACTTCCGTGGATATCTTAATACAACGCCATATCTGTACGCCAGATCTCTAGTCACTTAAAAATCCTCTCGATGAGGACTCAACCATCTCCGTGAAGTCTATTTACAAGTCAAGGTGTGCAACATTGAAGCTTCGTCAGATGATAATAGTCTCGGATGAATCACATTTGAGAAATATTAAAAGATCTGCCCTTGTGGTATGGTAATTCAAAACAAATATTCCCCCTTCTACCGACACTGCGGTAAAGTCGCGGCAGGAGAAACTTTTTTGAAAATTATTTTGCAGTGGCAAATGAGAATATATTGCGACTAGAAATTGGCAGATAAAAAGTACGGCTATCACAAGCTGTGCCTTTTATTCCTGACAAAATCTTATCAACGACTTTTCCGGATTAGCCTGAAAGTGGGATGGATCCATCGAAAGTGGAAATCACTGAAGGAAAATTATCATATTTATTCGGATGGCACGAATCTGATGAAAATAGCAATTGTTTGGTCAACGACCAATCAAGCCTCTCATTCCTTAAATTTAGAAGACTTTATCAAACCAATCCTACCATAAGACTAATATTCTCCTCTTACTATCTCCATAAACTATAGCACTTCCGACGTCGAACTTTCTCTAATTTTGTCATCGACATTCCATAATCACCTCTTCAAAGCACAATTATCATCACAGTTTTTATCAATTTCCAACCTCACTACCATCAAATTTATCAAAATAAGATTCTGTATCTATCGTTTTATCTGTATCACCTTTCTTCTTTCGACCATGAGCCTAGCCAGATCAGTCAACGAACCTCATTTCAAAATAATCGACAGGAGAGGCCATTTTTCAAAAAATACTGGCTGTGAATGCGGTTCAAAAAAGTATAGGATGGTCGACGTCGATTCTGCCGTAAGAGATGCTTGTTTAGCATATCCAATAAGTAAACGAAAGAGGAGTCTTTGGACATTCTTTCAACCAAAGAGCCGTCCTATTTCTTTTCCCGAAGCTCAGAAGTTTGTCTTTCCACGTGATTCACAAATGGCACCAATGACTTAATAATTTCTTGGTTAGATTCATCATTTACTAGAGGAAGCCTTGTGTTGTTGGAGCTAATAGTTATTTAGGATTTTACAACACAAATAGCGTCGTATCCTCAGCAACAGATTGCAAACTTCTTGGCCTCGTCAGTGAAAAAAAAGATAAAAATGTTGGTTTATATCAGAGTTGTAAATATAGTACGTGGCTGTCGGAATTATCGAGTGGTATTTATATCATGTTGCGGCTTGAGTTCACAGGTGATAGGTTTATGGTATCACGTGGTGTGGAGTCTGGTTGAGTAAGCGTCGGTCCCGGAAGCGAGGCTGCAGACCTCTTTCTCTCCTTGTCTTTTCTTTTAGTTATCGTGCGTAGCTTTAGGTCCAAATACAAAGCAATTACTCTTTTATATTTCGAGGGAGTCTTCTAGTGTTAACCTGAGGTCGGTCGTAATAAGCTCTTCATCCCTCGAAGCATCGAACTTTAGCCAGGAGCTCCTTGTCGTAAATTTCATAGTTACATTCTGCGCTCTCAAGTTTCTTTGACATGAATGCAATAGGATGAAGTTCGTTATTTTCATCTTTTTGAGAAAGTATTCCGGCAGAAACAAGATCGGAATAGTCGGCTTCGACAAAAATTTCTCTCGAAGGGTCAAAGTAATGCAAGACTGGCGCTGTGATAAATGACTTCTGGAGTGATTCAAATGCTGTTTGACAGGCATTGGACCAGATAAATTTATCATCTTTCCGGGTGAGCGCGATAAGGGGTCGAACTATTTTGGAGAAATTCTTTATGAATCGGCGATAGAAGTTTGAAAACCCTAGAAAACCTTGTACATCTTTGAGGCAAGAGGGTGGTTTCCAGTCGACTATACATTGAACTTTCTGCGGATCCATTTTTACACCCTTAGTGGAGATCACTAATCCAAGGTAGGTCACTTCTTCAGCTTCGAGCTCACATTTTTTATGTCAAAATGTAGTCCAGCTCTTCCCAATGCGTCCAGCACATTATTTACATGATCTCGATGTGAAAGGATGTCGTCTGAGTAGATCAATATATCATCGATGTATGCAGTACAGAATATGTCGAGATAGGGCCGCAAGACTTCATTGATACGAGCTTGGAAGGTTGCTGGAGCATTAGACAAGCCAAATGGCATAAAAAGTGACTCGAACAAGCCATATCTGGTGTTAAATGCCGTCAACCATTCCTGACCCTCGGAAATCTGGATATGGTTAAACGCAGCAATGATGTCAAGCTTGGTATAGTACTTGGCACTACCAAGTTTAGCAAGAGTTTCTTGTAGCAGCGGAAGTGAATATCGGTTTTTGATGGTGATTTCATTCAAACCTCAATAGTCAACGCAGAATCTTAAGCCTCCTCCAGGTTTTTTGGCAAATAGGACTGGAGCTGCCGCTGGTGACTTGCTAGTACAAATGAAGCCCTTCTCTAATTGTTTGTTCAGGTACTTCCGTAAGACTTGGAGTTCATCAATAGACATATTGTATAGAGGGCCATGTGGAGGCGTTGTACCCGGCTTAAGATCGATTTTATGATTGCAATCCCTGTGAGGGGGTAATATATCTGCACTTTTGTACTCAAAAACGTTTAAATGATGATGGTAATGTAGCGGGAGCTTTTTTGCCGGGTTAGGTCTATCTTTAGTTTGGAGAGCAATTTGGATATCTTCAAGTGAAAATCCAGCTAATTGCATGTCCGCAGCTGTGGGGTCGAATTTTGGTCTATCAGAGGTTTCTCCACTAACAGGATGTAGTGCTCGCAGTAATTTTTGTGCATATATCAGATCAGTGGGGAACTGGGAGGAGCTTAGTTTAGTTGGTAAATTTTTGAGATTGACACCCAGCTCATGGATTCTAGCATCCACTTCGTGTAGAGAAAGGGAAAATATTTGCACGTCACTTTTCTTTGATAGCTTGTAGAACGCATCAGGACCAACCTTTCTTGGCCGTCCCTTACCAATTTTTTCTGCGTCAGCATCTGAGCTACTAGTACTACTTTTGAACTTCGGGGAGGAAGTTTTCTGCGTATGTCTGAGAGCACGATGAAAACAATTCATTTACAAAAGATTGAACCTAAAATGACGGTATCTTGAGACCAATTTACTGAAGGGTTATGTCGTCTAAGCCACTTACGACCTAAAATGACTTCATATTTGCCGAGTTTTGTGAGGAAAAATACCAGTGTATCCCCATGGCCATTAACATCAATATATACAGATGTAGTATAAGTGATACGTGCGGCTGGTGTGCCGTCCACAAGGTAAAGTTGACGTGATTGATGGAGTGAATGAACGGGGAGATTACGTTTTTGCGCGAAGTCGATATCGTAGAAATCATCAGTTGCACCACAATCAAGGAACGCTTGGGTGGAAAAACTTATTTCATTAGACCCTATGGTGCACGGGAGAAGAAGATGATCTGTGGTGGGGGCTGAAAGGGATGAAATTTTTAGTTCTTCGCTTTCAATGATTACAGCGTCTTCTTTCTCTACCAGAGCAGAATCTGATAATTTATCCGACTGACTACTCTGATGTCTCTGATCGCGACAATGATCAGAGACTAAGCTTTTTCCTCCTCAAGGATAGTCTTATTATTAGGGGACTTTCTTTTGCCTTTATTCCAGCGAACTTCAGCGCACACTCGTGCCCGATGACCTGGATCCTAGCACCAGCTACAAAGTTTATTTTCAAAACAGTATATTCGCTTTGCATTTTTCTCAGCTTCATTCCGAGGTACGCGATGGTTGATGGCATCTGCTACTGTCCAAATAATTGTGGGGCTAGTTTTAGTAGCGCACAAATCCATTATGTCTTCTCCAGTGGGGATAGGAAGAGAGTTTGTAGATGGTAGAAAGGACGAGTGATTAGCGGGTGCTGGTATATTCTTAGTATAATTTGGATTGGAAGATCGGAGTATAGCATCTATATGTCGAACTTCAGCTAGGTATGAATTGAGGTCTGTAGGCATGTTTTGACGTAACATGACGCGGTTATGAATCAGCGATACGATTAGCGGGTAGAGGGAGTCGTAAAAATGATTTATTAGTGCGTCGTCAGATAGACCGCTCTTCTGAGCAACCTCAAACCAATCAGAGATGTGTGTGGAAGTGTCTTTTTGGCCCTGTTTAATAGTAAGAATCTTTCGACGAGCGTTATTACATTCGTCGACATCGCCGAATGTTTGCTCTAGCAAAGCCAAAATAGCATCACTGGAGAGAAACTTGAACGTGCCATCTCTATTGATACCATGTGAAATTGTCGGGAATGCTTTCCCTCTGAGCCGAGACACCAAATATATCATCTTTGATTGCTCGGGTTAGTACCAATCTCCATTAGCAAGGAACTTCATGTTCATTTTACGGACATAAATTGGGAGTTCTTTGCGCAGTTCAGGTGTGTCTGCCGAAAACAATTCTGGGTCCGGGTGTTCAGATGATCGGGGATGGCTTAATGGGGCACCTGTACCAGTAGCAGCAATTCTTGTTTCTAATTCGTGATATTTTTGTTTAAGAAGTGAGTTTTCCTTCAGTGCTTCAGAGCTGGTGGCAACCTACTGTTTCATATGTTGGAGTTTTTGTAGTATATTATTTTGCTGTTCTAATTGGTTACTGGAATTGGTTATTGAATTCTTTGAAAGTTCTGCACTTTGTCTATCAGCTCCTGGTTCTTCTCAAGTAGTGTGTCGTAATCATTTTTGTATTGATATAATTGTTTTTCAACAAGCACGTAAGAATTGGCTAAGGCCATGATTTCATTGCTTAGTCCTGAAATATTTATTTCTGTATTACCACCTTGCATGGCGGTAATAAAAAGCTGATTGTTGGGTACTGAACAGAGCAGAGGATAATTCTGGACAAAAGTAGCATCGTGATCTCGAAACTCATTCGAGGAAGCAGGTGTTCCTGACTGATATTGTGATGTGACGCCTGCTTCGAGATTCCAAGGGCTGTGATCCATTTTCGTTAAAGATTATGAGTTCAAACTTAAAATTGGTCAAGTTGGGTATAAATTTTTTCATAAGCTAAACTGAGTATGTCTAAAAACGGGAGATGGAAATTACGCACTATGGCAATAATAGTTGTTTATGACCTGGTAAATAATATGTCACAGTAGGAAGTGACGTGGATGGGGATCAACGATGTCTGATCTGGTGAATTAGATTGTCTACAAAGAGGAAAGAATCTAGTACTATGAAACTAATAATTATTTACGGACGCATTAGCGTGCATCTAGACATGTCCATATATCATGTGACTGCTTTGACTGAACGCCTTTCATTCATTGTTCTAGTTTAACGTCCTATGCGGTATCTATATACAGATCCATGAAGACGGTAAGCCATTTTAAGAAGGGAAAAAGCTATCAAGCAACAAAACCCATAGTTCCGCCGCGACGGCACAGCCCAGCTTGATGCTGAGGTTGTCCCTTCGTTCCATTCAATTTTGTTTCACCCCAAATGTTAACTCCTCTATCGCCCTGATCCCTACTCAGCCGAAGATTGGAAGATTCCTTTCACCATCCTTCTCTCTTCTTTTCGATGACGGAATCGTTGGAACTGCCGGTGTCGTTGCCCTTAATGTATTTAGAACTGCTGTTGAGTCTGCGATCACCTTTCGTGGACGTCCTGGTCCCCTCTTCTGGGTTTCAGCCTTGCGATTAGTGACCAGTATAAATCTTTGGTCGTCAGTGGTCGCAGATGCTGTTTGCGACGCAACTATGGGACTAGTTTCCCTTCGAATTTACGCCGTTCGTTCCAGAAGCTCGAAGCGGGCTTTCTGAACACTCCCCTTGTAGACTTGAAATGTTTGACATGACGCTCTCTGCCACGAACGATGTTCCTTGCCACAGTTGACTCAAGAAATTCTTCTCCTAGGACAGTCCCGGGTTTGGTGAGCACCTGCGCACTCACCGCACCTAGCTGTCTTTCTGCATGACGCCTGCGTATGTACCAATTGGCTGCAGTTGTAACACTGCTTTGGCTGTCATCGGGGATCACACCTGC